GGGGAAACGGGTAGACCACTTTGTGTCCGCATAAAAGAACATCTAGATGGGAAAGCTAAAATCCGTTTAAACACCCCTCTAGGTACGCATAGGACGCAAAAGCACAACGGCGATGATTTTGAAGTGAATGTACGGATCCTAGCACAGGAATCAAAACATCAACGCGCAAAACTCTTGAGGCGTTTTGGATAAATTTCAAAAATCCAAAGATGAACCGGAAGGACGAATGCCTCACTATCACGCGTGACCTGGCGCCCTATTTCAAAATGATATTTTGACCCCGGGGCGTGTCTTGCTCGCGACTCCACGTGAACTACGTGTGGGCCAGTCCCGCACGTAACATCACGGTGAGTGGCCTTTCTGTTCAATATGGCGTCTATTTGAAAGTTTGATCATCATTAATACTTTAACCTTCTTTTCCACCGAATAATAAAAGTATTCTAACATAAAGTACGTCCAGGCTCTGAGGAAGGCGAAGTTGCCGAAACATCAGCCATCGTTCAATAACATCAAAAACAACGACAACGACAACGACAACGAAGATCTGTAGCAACCTCGCGTCAGCTTAAGAAGATCAGTTTATAAGATCACATAAATAAAGCTTTATCCTTGTTTACACCTCATGATATTGGATATTTTCCGATCATCATCCGTTTGCGGTTTTTTGTTTGTGTTCCTACTCTGCTCAATACTGCTCATAGAGCCCATTCATTTGATTCCGTTGTCATCATGTATAAATCAATATGTTTTGCCAAAATTGAAGTGGGAATGGGCATACTGTCACTTTCATGAACTTTCATGACTAATTCAAGTAGCTTTTAATTTGAGGAAGTCGAAGATGCCGTATCACAGTACAGTGCACTGCTTGCAGCGTGTGTACAAGATGCGGAATTTCTATGCAGGCGAGCGACTATGTGGAAGCAGGTAGGCTTGCCGTTGAATACGATCACAGATAACTAAGTTGAGAATCAGAGTTGCCGATGCTGCTCTAACTCTGTGCAAACTTATATTTTGCGGTATATAATCTATTTCAAAACGCTTAGAATTGTCTTAAACACTACGATCTTAACAAATTACTTTACAGGTACTTTTGAGGAAAACTCGATCTACACAACCAGCAGGTCTTGGTAGCATCTTCTTGGGGTCGAATCCTTCCAGGTTCTTCTTATTTGTATCATACTGAAGTTTCAAGGCCGTTTTGTTACGCATCTTATTCATCTTGATAATGTTTGCTATGTTTCTCAGAAGTCCTGATTCATGGAATCAATTGCGCTCAGTGTCTCACCATGACACTATGAAGCCGTCGGAATTGAAGACTTTAATATCAATTGTTAGCCAGCACTTTATGGAGAGCAGAGAACCACGGTATTCTCATTGAAGTATTTCATGCCGATAAAACCAGTGTTGCACAACATTTTATCTCTCGACAGATAATTTTGTAGTAATACGGTAAAATGTCTACGTTTCCCTCATAGAAGGATTTCAGTAAGGTTAGTGGCGAGGCCACGTGGAGCGTTGACGGATCGAGGGTTATAGCTGGATAATCGTGTTGCAAAAGTGACATTATGCTTCCCTTAGACGCAGGTGAATCCAGGGAACGAATTTCCTATGCTGCGCAGATTTGTTACATCTGTGTTTACGCTTATGTATTCATGCATGCGTGCATAGGTGTATTCTGGTTTACGTGGATTGCATTCTACAAGTCAATTGGGCCAAAAGTCTACAATCAAGTTACTGGGATTTACATGTGAAGTGTTTATGTGTAGCCTGCTGCAAACAAACTTGCCGTCTACTCTGAGAGAGACTGGCAGGCTACACATGAGTACAGCCAGCCCACATTTTCAGCAAACTATATATGAGTGCCAGGTGCTAAGTGCAGTAAAATTAGCTTACCTCATTCCCTTGACCCAGAAAGCGCTCCGATACAGCAGTATTGGTTATAAAAAGTACGGAAAGCTGCTAAAATCTCAGGACCAATCTAAGCTGCCTAGATCTCGCAAAACTAAGGCGACAACGATCTGTACCTACAAAGTACACCCACACTTGCATATGAGTCCTTGATAGAGGACGATCATGCAGGCAAGAAGGATGAGGTACGACCCCATTGGAGTGGCTGAGTCGAGGAAACACTGGTCAATCAATACCGTCTGAGATACCGGAGAACTTTTCCTTGGAGAATGTGAAAATAGAGGAGTTGGCGGCGTCGATGTTCTCGTCAACACCAGTCTGAATTTGGACGTGAACGTGAGCTTGCCAATAGCCTAAGGAAGCGTTCTGATTTTCTGAAAACAAACTGAAGAAGAAAACACGTGAGAAGTGTTAATCCAGTAGCGCTCTTGAGGCGCTGCTTTTGTCGTGATAGCGGAATTCGGTGAAGATTAGGGCAGAACATCTGAGATAAGCTTTTTTTTCAAAATCGATGAAGTGGTTTTCCAGGCTTTGTGAGCTGTTACGAGGTCTGAACTGCTCTCGGCTATGCCGTTTCCTACTAGCACGTTTCGGACCCGACCGTTGTCGATTCTTCGAGTTTCCAAGTTCTTTTGAAAAGGTTCGTTGTTTCCAACAGTTCATGAGTAACCGCTTTATATTTTCTCTTACTCTCATAAGTTTTGTTCCTTTTTTAAATTTAATTGCTGCAGGGTTAGGTACTTTTTTCACTATAAAATGCTACATGATGGAGTTTTGAAAGCTACCATGACTGTTTATCGTTTCTCGACTAGTGTGTTAAGACTAGTGACAAAAAGTTAGTTGCTTTCACAATGTATATATTCTAAAGGTTCCAGAAGATTTCTTTGATCACACGAGAAGTTTTTAGTAACGGAGCTCAATGAACTGATAGCATGTATAGATATTGAACGAGACCCTATTTTATTCGGGATGTTTGGTACTGAACTCTGTCAAGCCAGCTTTAGGCCATCTGTTATGGTATTAGTCAGCGAATAAGTGTTTATAAAAATTTTTAATATTTTAGTGCCTAATATTGACGAATCCTGATTTGGATGCTATGTTTCTCGTTGAATGTGTTAGCGACACGACACCAACGCTCAGCATTCTTCTTAAAGAGTCTGATCTCGTCGAGGATACGCAAGACGAATCCAAACTATTTCGGTTATTCTATTTATTATTTTAAATACTCCAACAGTTGAGATTTAATAAAGTGCTAGTAAGCACCTCGTTTCATATCCTGAACTTGGACTACGATAACGTTTGTTCATCTTCGGGGAAACTACTCAGTAAAAACAAGCTTAGTTTTTTAGGCTTCCTTCTGCGAATGGAAATCATGCGTATAGAAACCAATTTTTATACCTTTTCTATCTAGTGCTTAATGAAGTCGAAAGCATGGCGCATCCCTTAGGGATTGATCAACACCGACAGCTTTATCCTTATCTGTTATTACACGCCTAACCTGAGGACTGCTATCAAGTGTCAAGAGGAGGGTTTTTGAAATTGCAGCTGCTACAACTACTGAGATGATTTTGTTGACAAGTAATTTGATTGCTAGCGGGATTACAGGTGGTTAACCACCTGAGTGCATGTTGAGCAGCGCAGTAGCAGAGTGTGATAGGCTGTCGTGTATGCTCTTACTTTTCCTCTTATTTTTTTGTACACACTTCAAAACTTGCCGTATTTTGAGTGGGACTGGTAAACATCCACGAACAGTACATGATGTTCTATATCTTTCTTTGCAAAGTCAGACTGCAAAAATTTTTTTAGAACTTGGTATATATCGTTTAGCTTACCATGATCCTGTATAAATTAACCAAATTAGTATTTCCAGGCAACAGCGCTTAGATACCGCATTCGATGATTTGGTTGCATGTGTGGCTGCATTTCTGTGGACTGACCTTTTGCAAAGACCTCCTGGTACTCAGTAGTGTATGATATCAACTGTTCTTTCATTGTTGTAATTTGTAGTTTTTATTTCGTTGCTATGTTATACATGTAGAGTTCTAATGGTTTTTCTTCTTTTTGTCCAAGACGTGCGTAAGTACTCTTGGTTTTGTGCGCTGGTCTCTTGGGACTACGTCCTGTTTTTTGCAATGTGGAAAAATTCAATTTAAATAGGGATATTTTTATCAATTATTAAGTGTATGTAATGGATTTCCCAGGATCATGTCTTCGACTGAACACAAAAAGTTTATAGAATAAACTTCGCTGTGAAATAAACGATCGAAAATTTACGCATTGAATTCAACGAGCGCCATTCACTCACGTGTGCATTGGTGTTGATGCAGCATTCATTTTATTGTTGACCAGCGCCATCTACTGGATATACTTTCACAGCACTCCTGGCTAGAAACTTGTGTTAACGCCAATCTACCAAATATTCATCGCTGTATTCGACAGCAGAAATTTCGTCTTTCATTAAAAGCTGGTTGGAAGCGGAGAACGAGGCGGTTTGGTACCTCGTAGTAGTGTGGATGGTTTTATTCTACTCTTAGAGTCTGAAACGGGGTTGTAACTCGCTAAACTTCCTCATTGGTTTAATGCAGTGCATATATTTTAAGTATATGTTTTAAATGTAACATAAACTTATTGGGTTGGCATTGAAAGACGTTCACCTTTGTTACATATAATGGATACCTCACTTGTGATTCTCGTCCTAATAAAATGCAACTAAAGGAAGATTTCGTGTCCGTAAAGTGTCCAGCATATTCCATACTCAAGAACTCTCTTGTTATTTCTAGAACAGACTATTGAAGTCGATGAGTTTCTCCAGGTGCTACTCCACGAGTTTTTGTTTTTGTCCCGTACCTTGATTGAGAAGGGCGCCACTGCGACACACACGGGGAATCGATTCCCGCGCCCATGGCTCACCAAGCCTTCCATCCTCCGGGGTCGGCGGATTGGTACCAGGTTTCTCTGGGAGGATAGCAGCACTGGCTCGATACATCTGGAGGCCACTGCGAGTCATTTTTAAGTCATTGTAAAGACCAGATAAGCATTCAATCACCTCTAAATGATACTTAATGAAGTCGAATGCATGAAGCATCCCGGAGAGATTGATCAACGCCGAGAGCTTTATCCTTTTATTCTTTTTTACGTTGATTGAGAGCCGGTTTAAAAAACAGCACAAAAGTGCAAAAACTGCGCCGCAACGGTCCGGTCGGCAGGCCAGTCGCGTAACATACTGGACGTGCAGACCAGTCTATTCAACAGTGAATCTATAGTTTTTTTGTCCTTTCTACAAGATTACTTTTGTTATATGGAATTCTATTGGATGTAAGTGACATCGTTCATCTGCAGTGCTATGACTGTCGATATTCATCGAAGCGTCTATTATTTTCAGACGGGATTGATTGTTCGTGATGTGTCGCTGGTGGTTATAAAAATGACTATCGATTTGCTGAGATTCACAAAATTTGGTGATAAAGCACCCACGACATTCGTTTATACTTGGATCACTTATTTCAAAGGATCTTTCTCTATTGTAAACTCAAGTGATGACCGTCGACTTGCCCATGTGGGTCGACACGCATTAAGTATGCTATGGTAGAAATATTTCTACAAACTTAAATGAAGTTGTTGTCTACGTTACAGATTCTGAGGACGACTTACAAAATGATTGCAGAACGGTAGATAGCTAGTTATGGAAAAGAGCGTTCACTTTAATTTACTTATAAGATTTAATGATGCTGAGATAATTGCAAAACTCCGGACAGCAGGTGTCTGCGGTGGGGAGCGAACGCGCTGTTGTCCTTTCCGGGGAGTAACGCGTTCACCACAACACCATGCGGTCCTTTGTTTCGCGTGTCTCTCAGCTAGCTCTATTGATCTTTTGCCATCAGCAATCACCCGTCAGCGGAATTGTATATACCCTGCCGTTAAAGAAGTACAACCGAATGGTTGCAGAAGTTGAAAAACAATAAGCCTGCTGGTGATTCTTATTTCATTGTATTCGTTCATCCAGGATGGTTAGAGTGGTGTTGCTCACGATGGGGCTGATGTTGGTTGTGGCGGCCACAGGTGGGAAAGTGCAGAATGAAGCTGGAGCCATAACTGTCAACGTGGCGAATTCAACACTGACGAGCAGTTCGTTAGTAAAGGGTAGTGACCTCACTGTTGCCGGACAAGCACTTAAAAATCCGGTATGTCATATGAGAAATGAACCAGTTTTTGTTTAAACTGTTAATTGTACAATTTTAGAAAGTAGAAAAAAATTTCATAGCAAAATAAGGGTGTCTTTAAGTTCTATGACTTTTTGTTTTTGCTACAGTGAAAATTTTACACGATACGGTCTTCATAGTCTGATGGCATGTAGAACGATGGAAAAAGAGCTGACCAAGGACAACTTGACCTTTTGCATTATAAGATAAGCATGGACTCGCTCTTTGCTTCTATTTCTTTAATTTAAAAGTTTTAGTCTTCATCTAAGCAAAGAATGGTGTATAGAAAAGAACCTAGACGGCAAAAACGTACAGGCAATAAGGTACGGGAACGTAGAACCAGTATGCTCCCGATATGTTCATTCCAGATATTTATCCTTCACTTCCGTAAGTGGTGAACAATTGGAGCTCATTGGTTAGTAGTACTCTGCAGTATACACGCTGTCTTTGGTTCGAACGCGCGCCTGGCCTAACAAAACTTTACTTCCATCTCGTGTCGGCAAACTGTTGCCACCAAACTTCTCTACAAAGGATAAAGTACACTGACTTGATACATCCGTGGGACTATGCAAGTCTTTGTGTTGGCCAGATAAGCATTCAATCAGTACGTAAAGTATGGAGTCGGATCGGACTATGGATTGAGTCGAAGTCCTACCGCATGCTGATCGACTCAAGCGTTTCATTATTTAATGGATAAGAAAGCATAAGCAACGTTTGTATAATCAAATGTTTGTTCTGTTGCACTTTTTTTCCTGTGGTCGCTGTGGTTCCTATCTAGAAAATCCAGCAAGATCCTAGTAGTGTCCTCGTCTCATCATTTAGCCGCCACCTCCATCGTATACACTCTGCAACTCGTTCGATGATCACGATATAGCAGCAAAGCCAAGGATAATTGGTAATGTACCTTCTGTGCTGGCTATCTTCAACCATGTAGGTTTATCTGTCCACTACTGTAACTCATGAAGAATTAATGAATTAGAGAGCTTCACTTCGAAGCTGTTGCTAATTAAATGGGTCAGGATTACGGTAGTAATCAAATCTGAAATGAGCGACTTCTAGTACTTCAGTGTTTTTCAGCCATTTCATTTCAGACTGATGAAATGTCGGCTGATATTTTGTGTGCATTGGAAAAGATTACTCCGAATATCAAAAGCACTGAAATAGAACCCCAGCATTGTAGCCAATTAATTTCAGTTAGTTGAAGATTTTAAAGTTACATTGTTTTCAAGACTTGACACTTCTTACGTACTCTGAGCGCAGGACTCAAATTTGTGCGCGTTTAGCGGTGTCATGCGAACATACAGAGTCGCTCGTTCGATCTCGTGCCCTGGACTCACGAAGACTTCTGTCTTTTCGGAGTTAACAGTTTGGTGCCAGACTTTTCTGCGAAGATAACAACATTGATTTGATATACCAGTAGAGCACCGAAAGCCACTGTGTTGCAAACAAGTGTTCGCTTCAAGGGCTTTACGAGCTGATATTTTGGATTCCCGTACGAGGATAGTGACTTTTACTTCAAAATCTTCTCCGTTATGTTTCTCTGTGCGCCTAGTGGAGTGTTCGGTTTTATTTTAAATTGCATAAGTTCGAGTACGGTTTAGCTGATCTCTTGTAAAACGTGGGAGGCGGATCCATTGACGAAACAGGTAGACAACTCTATGTCCGTATAAAAGAACACCTGTACATTGCAAATTGTAATTGTAAAAGTGTAAATTTAACTTGAAACCAAATACAGCACTGGGTGCACTTAGGACAGAGATAAATAACCGGGAAGACTCTGAAACAGCGGTGAACATCGTCGCACAGGAATCGAAAACACTAGCGCTCAAAACTCTCGAAGCTCTGGATACATTCTAAGAATCCGAAAGTGAACCGCACGTTCCTTGCTCGTGTATTTCTCTGTACAACTGCTCTCCACCAATTAACTGGGTTATTTACAAAGAATAAAAGGGCCTTGAAGAATCGCCGAAACGTAACTATTGTATGCTAATAGATTCTATTATACCAACCTCATGTTTTCTCATTGAAGAACAGGGTGGTGCAAGAGGTGCTCTGCAATATATTATACATGCCGTGGTCATTAGTTCTACACCGGGCTCCGGATAAACCAAACCTTTCATTTTTCTGATGTCGGGGTAAATTGATAATAGATATGTCTGAAACAGAAAGATACTGAATTGGCACATTGACAAACCCTCCAAAGACACTGTTCAAGCCAAATATGGATTCAATCACCCCGAAGACGTTATGAATGAAGTCGAATTCATGACGTCCTTAAGTTGTTAGTTAGCACCACGCCCTTTATCTTTTATAATCGTGTATATAACAATAGTTGTGCAATTTTTAAGATATACGCTTTACCTGAAGAACTTCATGTGCTGGTCGTTCATGCAGGCGAAAAACAAAATGAGCCATTTTGTGACGCTCAAGTGTATGGCGCTATTCCCAGTGTTATAGAGGTAATGTAGAGAATATGTTCTAATCTCTACTATGCCACAAGGGGCTCTGAGCAGATAGATGGGCCACAAAGTAAAAATATATGAATTGGGTTATCAACAAAGTAAATCTACGTTTGATGATCCATATACTTTAAACGGTTAACTGTATTTTCTGCTAGCTTTTAAATGGAACGTGATTGCGGGAAAGATATTGATAAGACCCAGTTAAATTCATAGATAAAAGCGATACCCCTATTGGCAGACATGGTTACCACTAGAATTGAGTTCACTGCTGTTCTCCTTCACTTTCTCCAGCCATACTGTTCATTCCGATATTGACTCGTTGTTGCGTTTGCTTCATCTCGTCCTTGAATATCCCCTATTGAAAGTTGCTTGTTAGAAATGCGTTAGGAAATGGTAGAAGATAGCGCTATCTTGGTCACCATTCTCTGACATTGATCCTTAAAACGATAAAATCCACGTAGAGTGAGTGAAGTTCTTCTAAAGCTGGACTAATGGCTAATAAATACCTATTATCTACCACATTTTTTTACTGTCCTTGATATGAGCTCCTAAGGAAAATACCATAACCTCGGGTTGTAGGGGAGGTAGATCTTTAAGAATTGCAGAAGATAGGATGCGGATAATAAAAGGTTATAAAACACTATATCCTTTGAGCACAGGAATACACCAGATGTTATCATGAAACAGAAGTTTACGGTGTCAGTAGACCCTTCATTCATTTACGATCATTTACTAGCTACGTACGGTAGGCATGGAGCTGGCTGGTCTAAGAATGACGTATAAAGCAAGCTTCAATAGAAGCTCCAACGATATTTTCAAATTCTTCCATGATCCAGGCAATTTTATCATAGTTCAGTTTATTATTTAGTAACTAGTACATGCCTTAAAGTGATAAAGTCTCTTATAGTGCCTTTTCTGTATATTCTTTCTGAATCATCAACGAACAAAGTCGCTATTTCTACTCAACGTCGAATTTTAAAGATTCGCATAAACCCAACCAAATCGAAGAAGGCACAAGACAAGTTTATCACTATTAATTTGATTGCAAATGGTGGAAAGATGAGGTAAGCAGATATCCTTGAAAATATGTTTGATAAAAATAGTATTAGCCATTCTTGGCAACCTTATCGATAAAGGTGAAGCGATAATCTTTCAGATTTGACTTTGAGACTGGAGACAAAAATGTTGGCAAAAATTTTGTACTCATGTTGAAAACGCTCATTTCATTGGTGAACTCTGGTCGACCTTATAATAATGGGGTGAGTCTATAGTGGGTAATCCTGTCGTATATAAGCAAACCAGAGAAGAATGAAACACACATGGAAGGGCTGAAGACTATCACTATTGAGATTACGATTGGGTCTATGTTAGTTCTCAATTTCGGGCTGCTTTACGGTAACCGCTGCAATTACACGACTCAAGTACGGTAGCATTCAGATACCCAAGTTTCATCGTCATGAGCACATGGTCTCGAATCCTACTCTAAGTAAGACAAAGTATCAGTTTTTGGAGGACGGTGAGGTATGATTGTTTCCCTTTTCTCAAAGGTTCTGCTTTTTTGGAGCTTCAAATTACGTCCAGTGACATTCCGCAGAATTATGTAAACGACTAGGCACTTTTTTATTTTTATATTTTCTTATTTATTTTATTTATTTTATTATATTATTTTTATTATTTTATTTTATTTATTTATTTTCTTATTTTTTTAAAGGCAAGCGAAAATTTTTTCCTATCTATGTAGAAGACATCTGTTTTAATGCTCTGCTTTCGGTGTTAAATCACTGCTTTAAAATTTTCTTGATGTTGATTGAACTTATTGAATGTCAGCCTCACTGGCCGCTCAACGTTGTAAACTCAGTCACCTACAGTCTGCTGTTCGTTTATGCAACAGTGATCTCGTTAATGCTGGTCATTCCTTTTGTGAGTTGTCTCTGATTGAATAAATTGACAGAAATCTTTGCAAATGAAAAAATGGCAGAGCTAGAAGATTTAATGGAGCTCCGATGTCCTACGGTATACCAAACTTATCAGATAAGATAGATATCATAGCCTCGAAATGCTAGTTACTTATCGTGGTCAAAAAATGGCATCGTATCAAATATGCTAAATAGTCTCTTGACTATGAGAAATGGTAGGTGGAGCATGGAAACCGTACCCACATGTTAGTCCTATGAACATTTGTTCATGCCCTTCCATTCCATGCAATTCCGACTTGATTTCTATTCTCAAGGAATAAATTGCCTAAGGATCCACCAGTATGGTGATTTAGAGAAGAGAAAGTTGTATTACTGGTGTAAACTCGCTGCGAACAACCGCTTGGTGTTCGACAGGCGTTCTGATCTTCTCAACGATGCACTCATGTTGTTTAGCTTATACGCCAAGTACATCTCGATCAAGTGACTTTCGTGAGCGACTACGAAGTGGAACCTGAAAAAACACAAGGGTTCTCCGATAAAGAAACCTGTAGCGATGTTAAAACGCGAGTCGGGCAGTCACAAACAGCCCATGACAGAAACAGCACGACAATTTCATCGATGGTGAGTCGTTAATATGGAATGAAAATGGAAGACATATCACGCATATAATGTATCCCCCGTATCAAAACTACTGGCCCATCTTCACGAATTAGGAGTAGTCATCAGATTTCTGAGAAATTCTCACTTAAATGAAAATATACTCTGATTGAGCAAGAGGTCCACTCCCCAAATTCTCATGGCGGTTATGCTATTAGTGCTCTCCTAAGTTATCACTACTTGCCAGTTAGTCAATATGTTGTTCTCGCACTGATTGACTCGTACTAGGGCTTCCGGATGGAAATGTCGAACTCGTTCCCAGCTTAGGAGAAGTACTGAAGGTTGAACGCGACAGTTTACAAAGTAATTTTCTTGAGACTGTAACCTTAAAACATCGATAAGTGATCAATTTTACGGCTTCTTACCTCCTTAACTATCTTGCGATTCAAATGAGCACCAGCAAAACCATTCGTTCCTATTCCACTTCAGTGGTTCTCTGTTCCGTTATTCTCGGCTGTGTTGCTTGCTTATATATTTAGACAATGCGACTTTCGTCCTTGTGGATCCTAGTACTTATTTTCTTTCTTTCTCGGCACTCTTTGCCCATCGAAGTTGTTGAGTTCGTGTATGTCATAACTTCGACCTTAGGAACTCTCGCCGTCGTTCCTCACTGACATCTCGAAAGGTTACCAAGCAATATTTCTTTCTAAGATCCCAAAATAGTCGTGCTGGAACATTTCCAGGTCTTCACCACATGAAATCACTAAAACATGCACGAAAGCACTGCTGTCTTGCGACACGGATTCCTACACTACGATATCGCTTTCTATTAGGACAACGAATTCTGCGAATTGTCAAGCAACTGACCGATGATCGAGACGTAGTTTGCCGCTGGGTTGTCATCAGCTGAAAGTGTCGGACTTCTTTAGTTCAGCGACACCATCCTTTATCTCGTCACACTTCAAAACCAAGGAACGACCTCTTATTGCGGCGAAGCTTTATGCCATTAAGGAAACTATATGTCGTAACAGCAGCTAATTTCAAAGATTTCGGCTCTCTATCGAAGCAAAGGGAGACTCACTGATAGAATCTGAAAGGACATGCGCTTCCAGGAGTGGTAGAGGGTAGGCTTTGTCATGCCTGAGTTACCACAACAGCATCTTTCGTATATTCAACATGAGTGCTAGGTTAGGTTAAGTAGAAATGATTGAAAATGTCAACAAGAAGTCGAAAGGTTTGCTAGTAAATTACCGAGTTCTGAAAAAATTTATCAGATTCAATCAACGGCTATCAGGGACGCTAAGAGGAATCGATGCTATGTAGGTGTAATCGACTAAAAAGACCCCAGGAATCAAATGAATTTGTGAAATGTTCTAATCAATAACAAATCAATTTCCTTCTAATGTGGATGTTTTAGAGAATCGAATAGGAAAACGTACGAACACAAACCACCATCAGCATAAACAAATGGTTCCTTCATAGTTGACGCAACGAATTGACATTTAGAAATAAATGATTTTAACCATGTTGACTTTTTATTTACTGCCTTTTCCAAGTTTTCGAGATATTTGCGAAACTCCGGATCTCAGGTGTCTACGGTGGGGAACGTTATATGTTATACGTTAAAGTTATATTTCGCAATGTATACCCTACTGTTAAAAGAAGAAAATAAGAAGGCAGTAAATAAAACGGTTAAGATTGTGATTATAACTGCTGCCTCAGCTTAACTGGATTCGTTGCCGATTTGGGCTCCTCAGAACAATCCCGCTGACGGGTGATTGCTGATGGCAAAAAATCGATAGAACTAGCTGAGAGACAGGCGAGACGGAGGACCAGCACGGTGTGGTGGTGAATGCGTTACTCCCCGGAAAGGACAATAGCACGTTCGTTCCCCACCGCAGAAGCCTGCGGTCCAAAGTTTTGCAAATATCTCTGCATCATTAAAGTTATATTTCGCAATGTGAATAACTTTCTTCCTTCTTGCTGTTGCTTTTGTTAAAATGAAACTCTTCCCGAAGTAAACAAATATTGCGTTAGGGGTTGTCATGGTGAGGTAATGTTGCTTGTTCGATACTCACTTAAGGCTGGATATCACTGATCTTTATATCTGCAAAATCCTGTAGAAAAAGTGAATAAAAAATCACCATTCTTTAAATTAATCATGGATTCTTTCTTTTGAAGTGGACTGTCGTTTTCGATGTCTGTGGGGAAGTTTTCCTCGGTTACAGGCTTTCAGTGATGTCCTTTCCATGGTGAATATTTGGTACAGCAATCTGATTTCGGTCACAGAGTCACTTTAATGCTCAACGTTATAATCAATTTACACCCATATCGATTTCTTCCCATTAATTGCCTATATGAGATCTTATTATCATTTTCTGAATACTTGGATGGCCCTTCTAGAACCACGAAGAATTGTGCGAACCTCAGCACATAATCCATTTCATTTAGCTGACACCTCCTGCTAAGATTTTCTTATCCCGAAATATCGGAAGTCGTTGTAGAGCTTACTAAAGTTGTCATCGCACTCCAACCATTGATTATATTCCGGTGCTGAAGAAGACGAAGACGTCGAAACGTTAACAGGATAAATCTCTGTTATCAACCTAGTGTTTGCTTAATAATCGAAGAATTTAGTGATTGTGTTGTTATTACTACTGTGACTAACACGGGCACGGGTTTCCTAAAGCTGGGCTTTTGGATGGAATTGTCGGACTCCCTCAAAGCTTAGAGACCTGTCAAGTGGTGAATACCCAGTGTTCGTCGTGGTTCAGAAGCATCTCCAACTACAGTGGTACTCCGAGGTGTTGTGTGAAAAGGCCCACGTTGATAAAGCATTCTTTCTTGCCATAATTTCGATAGATGTTTCAATCCTCTAACTGATTCAAGCGTTCGTCTCTCTCTTGTCTTTCAAAAGCAACCTAGAAATTTTCTTTTGATGTTATTGATGTAGCCGAACTACATAATCCTAGTATATATATGTATTTCCTACAAACTTTTAACCAACCAAGCCTCTCATCCTTCCGGGTTGGAAAATTGGTACCAGGCTTGTCTACGAAGAAACTCACTCTCTGCAATACAACTGGGAAGGCTGGACCCCGGTAACCTCAAGACCAGGTAGAATCGACTATATCAGCATTCTGCGATATTCAAGATGAAATGAAAATCCTCAAGCAGCAACCTAAGCCACAAGTAAAAGTTAGAAGATCTTCGTGCACAATGAACGCGAGGAAGCGAATCGAATGTGAGAAGTGCTGAGATCCCCACAGTAGACGTGAAAACGGGTCATATAAAATATAAAGTAAAAAAATAGTGAGATGACTTCGGAGGTTTTGAGTAACAATCGCAATTTAGAAATGTGCCTTGTGATTCTTGCTCATCATGATGTTTATTTGGGGATAGCATAGGAGCTGAAGTTCAGATAATGACTTTTTAAATGATGTGATGCTGCCTATGGAACTGTAAGTCAACGTAGACTTTTAGATATCATCTTCGTCATTGTTTGATGCTGGAGAGGAAGCTATGATCAATAATAAATCCGGTATTGGCCCCAACGGCTCCTATGACTGCTTCTGTTATGTCAACTGAGTCAAAAGCTGGCACCTCTCGCAATTCCCACGACCGACTTTCTATTAATCTCAAATAATTTATATTTTTATTAAGCAAACATGGGGTGTACTTTATTTTCTATTCAAGAACCAGCGTTTCAGCGGATTTCGCCTTCCTCAGAGCCTGCAAAGGTCAAGTTGACCGCAATCTACCTAGCCAAACATTTCCATAACCAAAAGGAGGAAATGCTAAATGGAGATTTCAATCACGTTGAGCGCAGAATGGCTTCATCGCGTACTCACCGCTTTCTATGAGTCCTCCACTGTGTGCCTCTCACATTAAGGCAACAGTATTAAACACTGTCTAGTATCACACATGAGGCGTTCCTCCTCCGACTCGTTTTCGGATTCTTGGAATTAATCCAGAATGCCTTGAGAATTCTACGCGCTTGTGTTTTCAACTCTT